ATGATGTTGAAGAATTTCAAAAAAGTAAGAAATGTCTCAAGGCTGAAGTCCAAAACTCCATAACTCAAGTTATCTTAATTGGATTTTGACGCGGCATACCTCTAAATGTTTGTGGTGCAATTCTCTAAGCATCTGCATTCAAATTTAGAAATTTAATTTTTTTTTAATTTTTTGTCATTTTTTGATGTTATGATGTTGAAGAATTTCAAAAAAGTAAGAAATGTCCCAAGGCTGAAGTTCAAAACTCCATAACTCAAGTTATCTTAATCGGATTTTGACGTGGCATACCTCTAAATGTTTGTGGTGCAATTCTCTAAGCATCTGCATTCAAATTTAGAAATTTAATTTTTTTTACATTTTTTGTCATTTTTTGATGTTATGATGTTGAAGAATTTCAAAAAAGTAAGAAATGTCTCAAGGCTGAAGTCCAAAACTCCATAACTCAAGTTATCTTAATCGGATTTTGACGTGGCATACCTCTAAATGTTTGTGGCGCAATTCTCTAAACATCTGCATTCAAATTTAGAAATTTAATTTTTTTTTTATTTTTTGTCATTTTTTGATGTTATGATGTTGAAGAATTTCAAAAAAGTAAGAAATGTCCTAAGGCTGAAGTCCAAAACTCCATAACTCAAGTTATCTTAATCGGATTTTGACGCGGCATACCTCTAAATGTTTGTGGTGCAATTCTCTAAGCATCTGCATTCAAATTTAGAAATTTAATTTTTTTTTAATTTTTTGTCATTTTTTGATGTTATGATGTTGAAGAATTTCAAAAAAGTAAGAAATGTCCCTAGGCTGATGTCCAAAACTACATAACTCAAGTTATCTTAATCGGATTTTGACGTGGCATACCTCTAAATGTTTGTGGTGCAATTCTCTAAACATCTGCATTCAAATTTAGAAATTTAATTTTTTTTTAATTTTTTGTCATTTTTTTGATGTAAGGATACTGTAGATTCAAAAAAGTAAGAAATGTCCCAAGGCTGAAGTCCAAAACTCCATAACTCAAGTTATCTTAATCGGATTTTGACGCGGCATACCTCTAAATGTTTGTGGTGCAATTCTCTAAGCATCTGCATTCAAATTTAGAAATTTAATTTTGTTTAATTTTTTGTCATTTTTTGATGTTATGATGTTGAAGAATTTCAAAAAAGTAAGAAATGTCCCTAGGCTAAAGTCCAAAACTCCATAACTCAAGTTATCTTAATCGGATTTTGACGTGGCATACCTCTAAATGTTTGTGGTGCAATTCTCTAAACATCTGCATTCAAATTTAGAAATTTAATTTTTTTTTACATTTTTTGTCATTTTTTGATGTTATGATGTTGAAGAATTTCAAAAAAGTAAGAAATGTCTCAAGGCTGAAGTCCAAAACTCCATAACTCAAGTTATCTTAATCGGATTTTGACGCGGCATACCTCTAAATGTTTGTGGTGCAATTCTCTAAGCATCTGCATTCAAATTTAGAAATTTAATTTTTTTTTAATTTTTTGTCATTTTTTGATGTTATGATGTTGAAGAATTTCAAAAAAGTAAGAAATGTCCCTAGGCTAAAGTCCAAAACTCCATAACTCAAGTTATCTTATTCGGATTTTGCTGTGGCATACCTCTAAATGTTTCTGGCGCAATTCTCTAAAAATCTGCATTCAAATTTAAAATTTAGTTTTATTAAATTTTTTTTGTAGTTTTTCTGGTGTATGATGTGTAAAATTCAAATTCGTTGAAAAGTAAGTGACAGGCAGAAGGAAACGTTTGCGACCATAAAGTAACCGATAAAGGAGATATATTCTTGATCAGGATCAATAGCCGAGTCGATCTGGCCGTGACCGTCTGACAACCACATTTTTAAAAAATTTTTGATTTTTTTATTTTATCATTTTTTTTTCCCAACTTTTACCGATATTCCAGATAATGTTTAAAACGTTTGCACTTTCACTAGCTGAATAAGGGGTATCTGATAGTCGGAGAACTCGACTCTAGCATTTTATCTTGTTTCAATTAAAAAGGTAATTAAATACGTGGATAACGTGTGTGAAATGTTAAACAACCTGTTGTGTTGCCTTTTCAAGTTTTATTAATTGTGCTAATGACAGAGTAAGGGATTTCACACTGCTGTGAACTTCTCCTGCAGAGAAATACCTAAGCTTTAATCCATTCAATTGTATACGCACAGATAGAGCCCACAATTTCGTAGAATTCAATGAACACATTGGGTTCATTGCTTGAGGGTTTAACTGGCTCACATTTGCACTTCTTCCGGCCAACTTGAGGCTTGGCACGTCATTGGGAAGGAGTTTTCCTTTTGAGAGCGTATTCAAGGATACTAGCTTATTATTCACAAGATGAGGGCTTGACCATTTCCTGGCCTAGCCTGCTCGATTGGCCAGCAGTTGCCGGAATCTCTGGGCTGCATGGTCTTCCAAGAATCTCGCTCCTTGACCAGTGCCTTTTATCATTAGTTTCTATTTGAGTTAAGTCCCCCTGCACCGGCTCGGCATTTAATTAACTCGACTGAAAGTTTGAATTTGACTTGCGTAAATTAATACATTGGCCATGTTATTGGCCTCCTGTTGAACTCTGGACGGAAAATGGGTACCGCAACTATGCCTCATCCTTGGCCCAGTTAACATTACTTGGTATCTGCGGATGAGCTGGCTCTCTGGCTTTTTGGGGGAAAAACTTCACTTGCCACCGAGCGAACCCTTATCAACTTTTGCCACTGCGTTCAGCCAACTTTGCTTATAAATTTCATTCGAGTCATTTGTTGACACACCCATACACACGCACTCAGCCACAGAAGCAAAGAGAGAGACAGAGAGAGAGCGAGAGAAAGAGAGAGTGAGCGTGGAAAACTCATCGAACATAGATACGCACGCAGACAAATGCACACAATACAAAAGTCGCAAGTCGCGGAAATCGCGAAAAGTTGTTGAAGTTATCTGGGCAACGCAATTTCTTGTTCTCGTTCCGCTGCCATTGTTTATAGTTCGCCTTTGTATTTGCAAGTTTCTCCCGAATGTGCAAATAGAATTAAAATACGACGGAGACGGAACTAACCCAATTCTGATTTCTCATTGCAGGGGGTTTTTTGGGTTGTTTGTTGTAATGAGGGATATTGGTAAATGTTTTAATATAGCATTTGGTTGCAGTAGAATATCAAGCTAACTTCAAATAGCGAGCACACGTATAAGATTGGCAAAATATTATAAGTAAGTATATATAAAACTGACAGTTTTTATATATCTCAAATTATTTAATTTATAAATATATATAATTTAATTCATAATAATAATTGAATTTTAACACTTCAGCAACTTACTAGGTAGCAGTTATTCGTTTACCCCTTTTGCCATCGCCCTACTCCACTTTTTGCGCATTGCACTTGTTAATCGGGGATAAAAAAGGACCCGGTGACACACACAAACAGCGGGCCATGACTTTCCTTTATAAGAAAAATATTCATTTCATACTCGTTCAGAGGCAACAAATCGCGTGACATGCTGACAGCGGTACTTGGCCCTCGTGTTGCTGCTGTTTCTGATGAATTTGTTGTTCCTGTCGCGGTTGTTGAGTGGAGAGTGTAAAACTCAACTATTGTCTTCATTTTTCTTGCAAATCATGCAAGGCAATCTAAAATGTTGACACATTGGCAAACACATATGTACACGCCGACATGGGCAAATCGGCACATATTTGAATAGTATGAGGAAGAGTACTCGCAGGCGGGCAAAATGTACACAAAAGAGGGTAAAAATAAAAAGAAAAAAAAGATATTTGGCGCCCTTTTGCCCATGTCACTCAAGTTCAAGGTTTACACGCTGTCGGTTAAGGTTACGCTTTTATGTATTATCGCTGAATTGTCACAAGTCTGCGCATTGTCTCGCAACGAGCGCTTTGAAAAATTACAATAATTGTTATTTACGCATATCTGAACATGAAATGTGTCAATTGGCAGCCAACGAGCTAGCAAAGCGAACCGAACGCAACGCACTGAAAGAACGCAACAACGTGGCGTATGCGTAATGTGTGAAAAGGGACACAAGGTCTGGCACTTTCCTCGGGCGGCAAATGAGTGGTGTTGGGTGGGAATGGCAGTAGTCAGGGTATTTGGCGACGAGCATCAGACAAATGCTGTCAAGCCTTCATAATTCGGTTCATAAAGCGATTTAGGTATAATCTTCTAGAGGGTGTTTTAAGTCCCTGGTCCAGCCACAAAGCCAGATTAAACGAATTTTCCCGGTTCGAGTAGGTAAGATAGGTTACATAATGCTAAAAATTCGGTTCAAAAATTTGCCCTGCTCATAAAATAGCTAGATAAAAGAATCGTGTTCGTATTGATTGAGTTTTATTTCTGGTTTTATTTCATATGACTTTTTGCTCTCGTTTTCGACTCCTCCCGAGTTTTTTATTAAAGGATTTTAATTGCCTCCAATTAAGAAACTTTAAACGAACACCTATCGTATTGAAAATAATGCGCGGTGTTTTTCATTTGAAGTTGGGAAAGCATGCCTACAGAAAAAGCGGCTGCCAAATTGTATATTGTTAAATTTATCACCAGTTTCTTTAATCAATGAGTAGTTTGGTATAATCACGCTCGCATTATATAAAATAAATAAAATAAGGGTATCCAATCTTCATGTATACCGTTTTGAGTTCCCATGATTCTATACCGCATTGATTGCCTCGACTAATACGTCACATTTGTTAGAACCTTTTTTTGTCTTCAGCTCTTGTACTGCTTTTTATTGGCAACCACTTTTTTGTGGGCGTTTTGAATGAAGGCATTAGCATTGCCTTCAATTAGCGAGCTTTAAATTTAAACCAAACGTCAATGGTGTTGCCATTAAATTCAGTCGTTATGCCCCTCTACATATAAATAGGAAACATCGGCGGCTCTTTGAGCGGCAGTTGTTTCGAAATCATTGACGCGGTTTGTCGATTGAATTAAATATAAATATCATATTCTCATCGTTGAATTAAATATTTAAATATGCCATTGCATTTGCCGTTGCCATCGCTGCTGCCTCTGGCGATGATTTTGCTGCTGGGCACGCACTTGAGTGGTGCGTCGGCTGTTGACAAGGATGTGGCACCAGTTGGCGATGTAAAAACGGATTTACTGTCATTGGAGCAGGAAATTGGCGGCGCTGCGTTGCCGGGTAAATCGGAATCTGATTCGCAGCGAAGTGTGCTTCCGGTTCGTCGAAGGCGTGGCATCTTCTTCAGCGGCAGCATCGGCGGCTTACCCTTCCTCAACTGGGCCACTGGTTATTCTTGGGCATATCCTGGCTATCCGTACAACTACTATGGCTCACCATCGCCTGGCTATTATGGTTATGGCAGTGGCTACTATCCCGGCTACCTCGGCTATCAGAAAATTATCATCGGCTAATGCAGATTTGTAAAAAGCGAAAAAAGGCAGCGCGAAATATCGATTAGAAAACCCCTTTCAATGTGAGATTATAAATAATGGCCAGGAAGGAGCAGCGACGACCCTTTTGCAGTTTGTTATTTTACTTATTGTTGCTGCTTTTAAATTAATTTGCCGGACACAGAAAAAGTTGAGTTTAGTTGAAGAGGTGGGGCGCGAAAAAATGAACAACATGAAATTGCACAATTTATATTCATTTTTCGGGGGGCACAGATTTTGCATAAATCATTTCGCAGCGACCAAAATGAAACGCGTAACATAATTTTTAACCCTTGATAATTTTTTATGACAAGCATTTTCGTTATTTTCCCTCCGTGGGACCACCTTATTTGTTGTTGTTTTCCTTGCCGTGTTGCTGTTGTTGTGGGCCGCAGCGAAATGCAAATAAAGCGGATCAAAAGTTTGCTGTTAAAAGAAGATTAATTGCAATTTGGTGGCAAGACCTGAAACATTTCGAGCCCCACAGCGCCCCATTTGAAAATCCGCTGCCCATTCGGCGGTGGGCGGTTGGTAATTAAATATTTTTAAGCTGTAAATGGTTTCCATTTGCGTGATGCTGTTCTTATTTTGTATTTGCAATCAATAAAATTCATTAAACGAACAACAATAACAACCAACCAAAAAGGGAACCAGCCAAATCAAATAAAATACATTTCTCCACGGTCTTAGTTTCAATTGCCACTCGGCAGTTGTAAATTGTTCCTCTATAAGTGCTGTCCTGCAATTGTTGCAGTTTCGCAAGTGGCTATTGTTTATTCATTCTGCTTTATAATCATTTTATTGCCGAGGTATGCTGATTTTTTAATCAATTTACATAATTTATGCCTTTTTTATGAACTTCACTCCCTCCCAATGGGATCAGCTGCACACATTCGGTTTGTGAATTGTTGAAGAGAGCGCAGAGGAAAATGTTTCAGTTTTGATAGTTGATCTGCTATAATATTGAATTATCGTTTTACAAGCAGTTGTCACGTTGTAAATCATTAAAAATTAATTATCGATTTAACTGCAGGACTGCATGAACACCGATGGCGATTTTTGTCTCAAAGGGTACAAATGTTTTCACAAAATCAATGGAAGTGAATTTTTATATTCTCTGCCAGATATTAAAAATGAAAGCAGTATTAATTAGTTGGCGAGTTGGAATTACTGTATCCATATATAATTATATATAACTAATTTGATTTATTTTCCTGGTCATACATACACGTATGTAGCTTTAAATATTAACATAAATCAAATTTTCAATTTAGAGTTCTGCTTAATATTTCATGAGTTTTAAACTACTTTAAGAGCCAGTTTAAACTATGTACGATAGGGAAACTTTATTTTGGTTAATTTGTATTTGAGGATACTTTATGTTTAAGTATCCTAGTAATTAGCAGATCACACGTGTTTGGGGGGCTCGGATCCCATTCCCAAATCCCATGCCTACACCTCTTTTGTTAACCACCTGTAATTAATAGTTTCGACTGACCACCTTTTGAACGCAAACGAATGGGCAAGTGGTAGTGAAAAGGCGGTCTAAATTGAGGGTATTCGAAATTTTAATAGAGCTGTCAGAAGTGCCACTGCCACTTTTCCGGCTTTCCGCTTTTCCGGACGGGCGGGAACGACCTCCAGCCGGCCAATCAGTCATCCGGGAGCTGCCTACTCCGGGCACTTGTGCCCATTGTGCTTGCTTTTCATAATTGAAACGAGGTCAAAACCAGCGAACCTCATTAAAAATTGAATTGTTTAATTTTCATTTGATTTAATTAAGTTATTTGTTGGTCAATTAACCTTTTTTCCGCTGGTCGCTGTTCCGTTTGCCATTGTTGTTGTCTGACATATCAATACGATGTACTATACAGTTCAGATATATATATACTTTACATACAAGTATGTCGGATGCAGTTGTTTGTGCAGACATTATATTGTTATTGTTGTGATGATTGCCTTTTAACGCGAAGAGTGGGCACTTTTTAATGCCCACTTGCAATTATGTACTCGTATGTGTACACGTATGTGCTGGCGTCAATGTGCTGAAATTTATTAATTAAAAATACTTTCCAATTAAAGTTAATACGCTCAGCATTTATGTAATTCTATGTGTAAATACGCTGTAAACTCTTCAAACAACATTTCATGCAAATGCCGTGGGCAGCCAATTAAAGGGTTTTTCTGTTGGTGCAAAAGGGCTTATTCATATAGTATATATTCCGACTTTACTCATTGCTATGTCAAGTGTCTAAAGACCTCTTCTTCTTTGTAGTCTTTTGTTATGGCCCGGTTATTTTTTACTTAGCACTTGGCGAGAGGCTTAAACTGCAACTCAACTGCGAATCAACTCCGCCGGAGTCTGGAACCCGGAACATGCAGCTGGGAGTGCTGAGTGCGGAGTCCGGAGACCGGAGGAGTCTATCTCATTATGCTCAAATGCACTTGCAAAGGCTGAGAACTCTGAGCTGCTCACAGGGCGATAAACAATATTCATGATTATGAAAACTTGTGCGGCGTTCGCTTTCGCACTTGAAATCTGTGAAAAGCGAGGGCGGTTCGCACAGATCAAGGGCTCGAATGGAGTACTTTTGATTTAAATCCTTTGGCCTTTGTTCTCGGCCAAGTGGCGATGCCTGCGATTTATTGTGGCATTCTTTTGCCAAAGGAGTCGGTAGGTTGGTTGTGCATATCTAACTCAACAACAATAAAGTTGGACGTGAACAATGCGTAAACAAAACACTTTAATATAACGCGCTAAAGTAATTTTGAGCTTATATCACAGTACTTCATTATTATTATTAGGTGCCACTTGAACAATGCTCAAAGATTATAATTATAAGTCATATATTATATTATTATTATATATTATTACATTATTATATGCTCCTTGACTTTATACATATACCTGTATAGACTACGAAATTTAGTTTAAAAACTTCTTAAATGTAAATTGAGTAGATGAACTCTAAAACCACATTTTTAGTTGGAGCCCACTTCTCACCCCTTCAATCCGTTAGATACCAGATGCCATGGCACTTTGAAATCTACTTGATTGGCGACAACTTGGAGTTCTGGATTCTAATAATCCGGGAATCCGTTTATGTTGCCAATACGCTTGGAGCAGCCCTCCTATGAAAACGACTGACTTCGCCTTTGGAGCAACTCCATTAGCCAAACGCACTGGGTCGGCTTCAAATAATCCAGAGCTGGCCATTTTCTCAGCCAAAGGCTCCCGGCAATGACCACAGCTACAGATACAGTTACAGATGCGGATACAAATACAGATACAGCGGCAGAGACACGGATACGGAGCGACATGTAGATGTACATATATTTTGGCAAAGCATCGAGCAGTCCTTGCCACAGAGGCCAACTGAAATGAAGTGTCATTGTGATAGAGCAACGGCACTGCAGCGGAATCAGTTCGGTGTCGTTAGCTGTGCAGCTCCGCAGCTGGCAAAGGACTCAAAGGATCCCCAGGACCCGAACCGAAGGACTCGCCGGACGACACATTTACACGCACTGCTGCAGCTGGAGCTGCAGCGCTGGTGCCGCACGTACTCGGCATTGTGACAAATGGATTTTCGCATGAAATCCCCAGGATTTCTTCAAGTGTAATTGCGCACGCTAAAAGCGAATACGAATGCGGATGCATTTGGCGGCCTTCCCCTCCCAAAACAAAAAATAAATTAAGAGCATTATAGTCGACTAAAAGCTACTGTGCATCCCCTAGAAGTTGAACTAATAACATTTTGATCGAGTAAGAGAGTTCAAAAGCTATAGGCAGTGACCAAAGCTAAATGTTTTACAGCATTTACACAGATTTTTTATCGATACTATCTGTTATTCCTTAGATAAATAATTATGTAATTAATTAAATTTTTCATGTAATATTATTGGTTAAATACTGTTATGTGACGAGGACACATCGGCTTCAAAATTTTCTTTTACAAAGTACTGAATTATTTCGATGACAAAATATGGTAAATGTTCCGCTTGGTTTATTTTCCCATAGGTGGTGCTGTCTTGAGATTAATGCTAAATATAACATTTTTATTTTAATTTGTATTAACCAAATATACTCTGCCGTACTCCTAATACCGTGCAGAGGAATGCGGATTCGAGTCCACAAAGCGAGCATTAAATTTCATGCACTTGCGAACGTTTATTGCTCTCGCAGGATAATTTTTCAGCGTTGGGCGCCAGTGTGGGGCTGCATCATGATCGTCCAGGTGCGACTATTGGCGCAGATGCGGAATAGTCGGCTGAGTTGCATGATACCGTAGCACGGGATGCGCAACGTCTGGGCGGTGCCGTGTAGCATCGTGGTCCAGCTGGCCAGGAGGATCTCGAGGCCTTTCAGTGTACGATGCCTCAGCGATGGAGCGGCTCCATTTTCTGGCCTCGGCTGGTACACCCATTTCATGACCAGGCTGACGAATAGGAGTTGAAGGCCCAGAGCTTCCTGGATCAACTGCATCAACGCCAGCAAATTCTCCAGGTAAACGTACACCGCAAACAGCGCCATTCTTAGAGGAAAACTCAGCACCAGTCCGTAGACCACAAGTCCATTCTCCTGATCGTTGACCATTTCCCCAATCTAGAACTTATGCAGCAAACTCAACAGGGAAATTGAGACCCGAAATGCAAACTTTTGCGTTCGGTGTGTGCTATTGTCTGCGATTGGAGTTTTTACTTTGCAGCACGTTTCCACGTTTTGTTTTCGATTTGCCCCGGCTTTGACAAATTTGTAGTGAGCTACTTGGCAGAGGTGTCGTTTGATATATATGTATACGATATATTTTTTTGCCTTTGTGACAGAGAAAGTAGAGCTCCCTATATCGTAAAAGTACAAAAAGTTTATATTGCAAAACATTACCAACCAGGGGGTGACATTACTGGCAATACTGTTGGGCCACCCCAGCAAATCACGCCCAGGCTATTTGCAGTGAATTGAAATTGATCAATTTGGGTAGTTAGGGGAATTGTTTGGCTTTATGTACGCTGCTGGCAGCT